GCCCAATGTGTGGCTTGAAAAAAGACCATTACGAATTCCATGCCATGTGATGTACAGCCGCCCAAATCTTTACCTACGACGGGCGAGCGGCGACTGTTCTATGCATCCGGGCCATACGATGGGGTAGAGTTGCCAACAGGGTGAAAGAAAGTGCAATGCCCTGAAAGGGTATTCAGCTAGGCCCGTATGCTAGGTTCTTTCTTGAAGACCTCACTTTCTATTACAGTAGAATCTCAGTACAATTGCAGGTTGATGTGAATATTGTGATGATACAAATTTTAAGGTAATTTCGGATGTACCAAATATAATAAAATACTTTGTGGTTTGGTGTTACAGTTGACTCTCGATGATACAAATTTGAAGGGGGCATGCAAAATATTCGTATCTTCTAAAATTCGTATGAACCATGATTGACTGATATGTGGGGTTTAACGTCCCAAAACCACTATATGATTATGAGAGACACCGTAGTGGAGGGCTCCGGAAATTTAGACCACCTGGGGTTCTTTAACGTGCACCCAAACCTGAGCACACGGGCCTACAACATTTCCGCCTCCATCGGAAATGCAGCCGCCGCAGCCGGGATTCGAACCCGCGCCCTGCGGGTCAGCAGCCGAGTACCTTAGCCACTAGACCACCGCGGCGGGGCAATTCGTATGAACCAAAAGCCAGTTAAAGCTGATCATGAAGATGAACAAGAACTTTAATGGGGTAAACTATTACTTGCTGAAAAAAGTCAATGATGTTCTTTTGCGCTTCCCTGCCTTTACCACCTCTCAACACAGGGCCACGGTTTTCTCACTCATGCTGCTGGCACTTAAAGGGAGACGCTGGTCTCGAAATGGAGAAAAATAACAAAAAAGTGAATTTTTGAAAAAGTGCGGTATCGCGACATTCAACATTTATAATCTCCCGGCGAAATCTGAAAGCTGTTTACAATCTAGAAATATTTAAAAAACAGTGTTTTACATACCTAAGTGGGAACGAAATGATTGAAAATTGGCTAATTATGTTTGAAGTTCGCGTGCTCGTAACTTCTGAATGAAGCGACCGGGCGCCACCATCTTGGTGTTTTGAAGCTGCTTTCTCTGTGCGTCTTTTCCCTATCTTCAAAACGGCGCCGGTGCAGCGAGAGTGATGCTGCCATTCCTTTTTCGAAGGTCGCTTACGCGCTCGTGATTGGTCAAAGCTCGCGCTCGCCCCGCGCGCTTGCCCTTTTAATGGTTTGCCACGTTTGTTTTGCTTTTTTTTTTTTTGCCCAGTCTTACGTTGCGATCGTGAACTTGCTCAGCTCGGGCTTTCTGCTGCTCTGCGACGTTCTTCAGGTTCGCAACTACGACGTTTGAACTACTGCGATTACTGAGCTGCTCAAATGTCCGAAGACATTCATCTGAAAAAAAAAAACTACATGCTGCGTATTCCGCAAGAAACGTCTGTGACCATGAAATGCCCAACAAAATTCGACGATGCACTATGTCCCACAATAGCCGCTGGTTGGATTGAACACGCAGCTGCATCCAGCATGGATGCCTGGAATGCCAGCACGGAACTCATCATAATTGCGGAATTGCCTGTTGACGCATCAAATACAGTGCCGCAGCCCACTACATTGAGCGCGTGCACCCCGCTTATGGTGCATTCAGACGACGGACCGAATCCGGATGTGGCGGGACGGACGACGCGTCACGTGACCTCGCAGCAGCGATTCCCCTCGTCCGCGACTCATCCGTGCGGCTCGCGGACGGATGACCTCAACCTATTTCTCACATCGGGATTCTGGTGGGAGAGAGCCGGTACTTCAGCAGAATAGCTCAGGGTTGGTGGCAACCAGTACACTTTTCGTCTGCTCGCGACATGTCCTCCATGACTCGCGGACACCTAGCTGCATGACTGGTCGGCATCATCTACGCTTGAGCATGGTTTACTTAGTTTCCGGGGGCTTTGTTCTCAGGGCATTAAATACACAGAAATCACTTTTGTGGTTCGGGAAAAGTCGCCGCCGTTGTTTTGACACGCGAGATTCTTAGCTCCCATAGTGGGGAAATATTCTAACTTCTGCAACCGGCGACGTGCCGCTTCTAAGAACGGATGGGAGACGCGTTCAGAAGTTCTACAAGTGGGGAACAATGGTGTTGAAAGAACATTCTGCCAGCAATTACCTTTTCTCCTGAAAGAATAACACTCCTCGTTCATTTGTCACAAAGCGACAGACATCGAAGCCAAGCGTCGCTTCTTGCGGGCATCCATGTTGAATACTCTCAAACCGAAGAAGGGCTCGTGTTGTCCTCTTTGCTTTCCTTGCCTCGCCTTTCATTTCACGTTTCTTCTAGCACCTTCGTGCTCGCGCTGCAGCCCTTATTACCGTGAACTCTCAAACCGGTCTGCTGCCAGCGGGCGCAGGTGAGCGCCGAATCTGCTGTTGAGGGTAATCCAGCTGTTTTCCCCAAGGACGCCGTCCGTCGTGTGGATGCGCCTGCAGGCGGATCATCCGCGAATTAGCTGTCCGCGTCCATGAGAAATCCGGATTCGGTCCGTCTGAATGCACCATTAGCCATGCCTCAAGTGCTGCTGCGGAACGCTTCGGGGATCGTCGGTTGACGGTTTGTGTACGAAAAGGCAACTTGGCACGTGTAGTGCGTATATTTTGTCAACCCAAGCCTCAAGTTTTTCTTATCTTTTTTTTATCAGCTGAAGAAAATATCGAGAGTTCAGCAAGTGCGGCCGACGTGAAAGAGCACTTGGCGTCAGTCGGAAGCTGAACGAAAATTTGAACTTCTCGGCGACAACACTGAACAGTGGAACTTCAGTGATAGTGAAACGGAATTCTCTATCGTACATTTGAGCATGCTTAATTACCTTCTCGAACTTATGATTTGCGCTGACTGCGGAAACAGTGTCCAAGGAGCAAAGAAAAAAGGACTTTAGTGTGAAACTCATGATGGCATGCTCAGGCACGCGGAATGTGCGTTGAGCGATTTGCTTCACTGAGAGTGACTGGAGATTCATCAATAACGTCATTTATATATGCAACAAAGATCATGCAGCTAGAAATGCCTTGAAAAACAAGCTCGTGAATAGGCACAAGGCAACAGTGGACACTGCATACAGCTCTGGTCAGCTGTTAAGTGTAGATTCAAGCCCTTGTCATTGCAAGTATTCAAATAATGTTATTTTTTTCCTTTTTTTATTTTTGTGACCCTGACCTAGGTGCGAATAGCAACAGCACAGAACCCATAGGCATGTCATCTTTATGCACAGTGTACACATCGAAGCTGAAATACAACGGTGAAGTGTTAGGTAGCAGCTTTCTTGCACTATTTACGAGGACTATGCATGCTAATACAGCAAATTTTTCATGGTTTTTGTGACATTACTGTAATATATGACATTATCTTGCTCCTGAAGGGCAAAGCTACATAATGATGCCATTTATACAGTTATGTTGCAATACCACATCAATTTATCGAAAACTAAAATTTGAAGTGCATTTTTCTCAGTTTCATAATTTAAGACGTAACAAGTAGCCTTACGGGACATTTTGACATGTTTTTATTGACTCACAATAACAAGTCTGATACCAATGTGTTAGTATTGCATAGATCTAGCCGGTGATGCTATTCATTTTGTTCTATATGTTCTTCACCAAATTGTAATACACGATTATTGTTAACAATATAAGGCAGAAATTTTTCACTCATGTTTGCATTCATTTATTTTACATTTGAAGAATGTTGCAATCAATAAAATTAGCATCGCCGGCTAGATCAGCTCTCTGGCAATCTGGATATGTACTTTGTTTTAGTGTTTGACATAGTGAAATGACCAAAAAGCCCCGTAAGAAACATGTTAATTGTGTATTATTAAAATTTAGTATATTCTGTTTTGATGCAGCTATCGAAAATCTATTTAGAGATTTGGAATCTGCAGAAGAAACTCAGTAAGGTGTATTATATTTCATTCAATTCATACAAATAATAAAAAAATTTCCAAGACCCACGTCTCCCCGTAAGGGGCAGACTGGTCTTAGACATTTTTTTTATTTCTTCAGTGATCTTGATCAAACCGCATAGTGTTATGCAGTTTTTTCTGCTGATTTCAAATATTCAATTAGTTTTCCTGTAACTCACCTTGTTTCTGAAATAACTTAAGTTCACCACCTATTGTTTAAGGCCACCAATGAAAAAAAAAAGTGCTTAATTAAAAGTGACATTTAAATTATGCCAACATAGACTAATGACTAGAGTGAAATTATCGAATATTTTTTTTCTGTTTTTAGGCTTGTATTGTTTATTTTACAGCAAAATGAACTATCCATTTTCAAAAGCAGTTTAAATTGTGTTACAATTTTGATTAGTACATAATTAAAAAAAGCTTGTGCTCTAAATTCTGCTCCCATACTTGCTTTCTACACATATACAGGTTTCCCCTGCAGAGAAAATTATTTTTGTACCTGCCCTAATATTGAGGCCTCAAAATTGAACAGTTCGCAAATTTACTTTTTTGAGAAAAATGGAAAAAAACTGAAAACAGTTTCTTCAAAAAGCAACAATCATGGTGCGCATGTCTTGCAATCCTCATAAAGGCGCTCATAAATTTGTAGTAGAGCTTCAGGCACAGGTGCTGGCAAATTATAAAGAAGCCCCAAAAGTGGTTTCCCATTTTTTTTTTTTCAGTTTCTGCATGTTAACAGCACCAAGAATCTGGACAGTTAGAATGATATTGCAAAAAAATTACTACTTCTGGGTGCGTGAAAATTTGCAGTGAGATAGAAAAATACTTGCAGAAACCAAATATGTCAATTTTAAAAAATGAATTTTTTTTGTCGCTTTTTGGTCTCTGAAACCAGTCTGCCCCCTTAAAGCACGTTCACACTTGGCATCAAAGGGAGAGAAAGCAGCAAAACATATGCAGTTCCCCCTTGAAAGGTTTCTACCAAGATTTCCCTCACAGAACAACTTTCAGCCGAGAAAAATTATTAAAAAAAAAATAAAGCAACTCACCCGGTTAGTGAAGTGGCTCGCTTGTGCAAGGTACCCAGTGTACTGCCTCCATAACACTTGCCCTGAAAAAGGGTAGAATAAGTACCAGATTTGCTTTCGTTTAACGCCCACGCCAAGCTGGCACTTTACAAATTAAAAAAAGAAATAGTGAGCATAACCCTGTCCTGGGGGCACTAACTAGTTATTAGTAATGCACTGCCAGTAACTAGTGGCTTCTTCAATAACTGAACTAGTCAGCTATAAAGACTGAGATACATAACTAACATCCTTGTCCTCTCTGATCCTTTTCTTCTCACTTCACCTATTTAATTATAATATTTACTTGCATAATGAACTCACCACCAACTTTGTCCTCAAAAAAACATTTTTTATGTATTTATTCATTTTATTAGGCTGTGAAAATCAGTGCCATAGACGATTGAAACAACAATAAATCAAGTCAATATATCACAAAATAATGACGCAATAAAAGTCGAAACAGTTTCACAGCATGCTAAACCGTTGCGAGCTCGGAGGACACTAATAAAAAATTTAAAGGCACGCCTTTCGTGGGCAGAGCACCACCTTTCGAATGCAGGCAGGCGAAAACTCTTTGCTTATAGTGCCACGCAAGCACAGCGGCAAGAAAACACAGCAAAAAACAGTGCATGGCCTTCAAGGTGGCAAGTACGTGGCATAGAAACACTCCACGCGCCCACCATCTCTGAGGCCATGCAAAGGGCAACTGCACTGACGGCACGTCATGCACCTTTACATGTAACAAACATTTATTTTCATGTAACAAACATTTAACAAACATTTTCATGTAAGATGCAACTTTGCTATAACAAGCTTCGAGTGTGTACTCCAGTGCCATCACCAACATTTAGCTTATAAAAGCGTTGCTTTACACGACTAAAAGACACAAAAGGCTCACCTCCCAGATGGCCTGAGCGCATGTGGCCAAAACTGCCATGTAGGCCAAGCAAGGCTGGACATAGAACAAGCACTTGTGCAGGGTCAATGCACCCTGGCTGACCAGCTTGTGCTCTAACTGGGTGATCAGGATGGTGTAATCCTCCAGCAGCTCGCGCATACAAGCCGCCACAGCCTGGTTCACCATGCCCTGGCCGCGCTCTTGCTTCTCTGATAGGAGGAAGTGTTGAGATTTCTTAAATGATCGAACACAAACATTAAACGACTGATAAGTTTGCACGTGCTGAAGGCATTGTTCAATGTGATTGATTGATATGTGGGGTTTAACGTCCCGACATTGTTCAATGCGAAAAACATAAATTACCGTATTTTCGCGCATATAACCCGCACCAAAAACCCGAAAATTTCAGTGGCAAAGTGGAGGTGCGGATAATGCGCAGGGTTTTTTCTATAGTGCTGCTTCACAGCAATGCGTGTTGTGCTGTGAAGCCCCCTAACAGTGTAGCGAAAGCTACGGAGGCGGTTTTCGCAAATTCGTGTTGCTCCGCGAGTAGCACGGCAGCTTGCGGTCGATTTTGGTTTCGCTTGCTTGCATTGTTAAAGCGTTTAGAAAAACATTTGGGGAGAGACAATTCGATTGTTCAGTGTAGAATTTTACTGTCACAACACAAGTATATTTTTTGGACGTTCGCGGCCGCTCAGTGACCCTTCACATGTCCCTACGTCACAGACGCCATGTTTACTTTTGGAAAGAGCTTGCCTAAAAGGTGGTGCTGTCTAAGAAAGTGCCATAATAAATAAAGTAAGTTTCATAATAAATAAAGCAGTATTTATTTCAGCAAGGCAAATGAGATGTTATTGTGCCTATAGAGATATCAGTAAATTAATGAACTACTTTCTGACGCAGTAGCAGGCATGCATTTCGGTGCTGTTGTTTCCAGGGTGCTGTTACGGTTACTAGAAGGGGTAGTGCTGTCAAGTTGTCGCCGAGTGTGAGCGCTCTTTACCTCGCTGATACCGCTAGTTCTCCGCATCTCGACCCGTTCGCCAAGCCTAAGTCGATCTGTTCAGTCACCATGAGTAGCGTACGGCGGCAGGCCTTCACGGCACAGCAAAGCTTAAGATCATCGCCGTCTCGGAGGAATTTGGAAATCGCGAAGCGGGAAGATGGCACGATGTGGACGAGTCCTGCGTGCTGCGTGGAGATATGAGAAGCAGGGGTCACGCCGTATCGACAGAGATGGCCCAAGTGAAAGTGCGCCGACTTTCGAGGGAGCTAGGCCTACCTCACGAGTTCCGTGCGAGCCGCGGATGGCTGCACCGCTTTATGAAGTGGCAAGGGCTCTCAATCAGACGGCGGACTACAATATGTCAACGCTTGCCGGTTTTTTATGAGGACAAGCTGCCCAAGTACCAGATATATGTAATTGGCCTGCGAAAGAAGCACAATTACATTTTCTCGCAAATCAGCAATGCGGATGAAACTCCTGTTTATTTTGAAATGCCGTTGGACACAATGATTGAGAAAACGAGCAGCAGTTCTGTGAGCGTGCTGACCAGCGGGAACATGAAACTGCGCATCAGTCTTGCTTTGTGCCCTCGCCGACGGCATGCAACTGCGACCGTACATCATCTTGAAAAGGAAAACTCTACCAAAGGTTCATTTGCCTGCCGGTGTGGTGGTGCGCGCACACGAGAACGCGTGGATAAACAGTGACTTGTTCGTAGACTGAATCAAGACGGTATGGGAGAAGAGGCCTGGTGCGATGTTCGCAAAGAGGTCCATGCTCGTTCTTGACTCGTTCTGCAGCCACACAACTGAGGAAGTGAAGGACCACCTTTCACGCAACGGCACCGACTTAGTTGTTATACCCGGTGGAATGACATCAATGTTGGTGCCTCTAGATGTGTCGCTTAACAAGCCCTTCAAAGCTCATGTCAAGCGCTATTACGCCGAGTGGATGGCCGAAGGCTGCTACGACTTGACGCCGACAGGACGAGTCCGAAGGCCTGACATTGCCCTATTCCGCAAGTGGATTGTCGAGGCATGGAAGGCCATTCCAGGTGAGATGGTGCGAAAAAGTTTTAAGAAATGCTGCATCACAAACAACATGGATGGAACCGAAGATGACCTTGTGCATAATAGTGAGGACTGCGGCTCAAGTTATAGCTCTAGCGAGAGCAGCGACAGTGAGTGAATTGTGACTGGCCTTGCAGACAGCGTGTTCTACTTGCTAAATAAATAATTTTCTGTCTACATATGTGCTATGTTGCTTGAGCAGTAGCTTTTGAACAGCCTTTCCTGTATATCAAATGTGCGGGCAATACGCGAGGATTTTTTTTTTTCTTTCTCAGTGAGCTGAAAGTGGGGCTGCGGATTATATGATGGGGCGGGTTATACGCGCAAAAATACGGTAATTTCTCTGCGGAAGCAAGTTGTCTTGCCGTCCCCTTTCAGGTCCCTTATTCTCATAATTGCCTAATTTATTTTACTGTAAAAAGAGTATTTCACTGTGATGGACAATGCCAATGCAATCCCAATACAAATGCACCCCCACGGTGGTGTGGTGGTTATAAGACTTGACTGCTGACGTGTAGGCTGCGTGATCAGATCTCAACCGTCGCAGCCGCACTTTCGATGGAAGTGAAAATGCGAGTCCAAATGCCTGCTTAAACTAACTTTTTCTACACCGTATGTTGCTGTCATTGTGACGGAGCAGCGGGGGTTAGTCAAGCTGCAGATATTGCAGCTTTTACCCTGCTGCCCTCACCAGAAATGGAACATTGTTTCTTCTTTGCTTCTATTCCTTGTTATAAATGTATTAGGAGTGATAAATTGAAGCCAACCTCAAAAATATTTTACACGAACGGGGAGCAACTGCGAGACAAGCAATTCTCACCTTCTATAAACCGGACCACTGTTGAGTGGTAGCTACAGACGGGCAGAATCTTCTTCACCATTTCCTTCAGGGATGTGTCTGCGGTTGAGACGAAGTAAGATGAGAAAATGATACGAACACTAACGCTCCTGGTAGAAACCTGACGCGCGTTAGTGTATGGGCACAAATGGGCACACAGGATGTGGTGCACAGTGCTGCTAGCAAATGATTTACTGCAAATGGAATTGCACAGGCTGCTTTTTAGACAATACAGATCACTGCACGTCTTTGGTCTTCACGGACAACTATGTTGAGGTGGAAGTATTTCATCACTGCTAAAGCTATCTTTAGGGGGCGGACTTGTCTTTGGGACCGATAAGTGACAAAAATGGACATTTTTAAATTTTTTTGAATGGACATATCTTATTTCTGCAAGTATTTTTCTATGTTTCTGCAAATTTTCACGGACCAGGAAGTGGTCATTTTTTTGTATTAACTGTCCAAATTCCTGGAGCTACCAACATGCAAAACCTGCAAAAAATTGTGAGCCTACTTCGAATCTTCATTATATTTTCCTAGCACCTGTGTTAGAAGCTCTGCAACCAATTCATGAGTGCCTTTATGAAGATTGCAAAACATGCACTAAGTGATTAGTATTTTTCTATGTCATATGTCCTAGATATCATTCGAATTCAATTCAAAATTATTCGATCAAAATCACTATTCGCTTCAAACTTCAAATTCACTATTCGCACAAGCCTATGCAAAAGTGATCCGATGCAAAAATGAGCCTATGCAAAAGTGATCCACATTTCCGTGGACAACATTGATGAGGTGGTTGTAACAAGTAAGTGAAGCTTGCACACTTGTGATTGTTCAGCATTCACGTAAGCGTCAGTCCATGAATTCATGTAATCCCCAAGCTTTCCGGCTTTCAAAACTAGTGAAAAATTTCAGACAGCTTCGAAGAGAACTTTCAAGCAGTCATTTTCTAAACATAGCAATTTCCCCTTCCGTGCGCATATGGCATCAGCGAACTCTGTTTGGTGCCTTTACTGTGCAACTTTTCAACAACCTTTCGCACAAAATCTGGCAAAGCGACTTGAAGCAACAAGGATAAACTTTAGAAAAATTCACACGCTTCCATGCCTTTGTCATAATGCCTAGACCAACACACTTGCAACTCCTACTGACCCTAACGTTTGACTAGATCTCTTTAGATAATAATGATTGTTTAAAATAATAAAACTCTCAAAATCCCTTTTTCATAATAAGTTTTGCTCCAAATGACACTGAAAGAGAAACTGTCACGCCAATAGCAATTGTAAAGAATATCTAAAAATTCCACATTTCAAGTTAAGTACGTAACAGTTGGCACGCATACGGTACCTACAATTGTACACAAGCGGTGCCCGAAGCGAAACTTTTACCTTTAAAGACTAAAGGTAAACAGAACAAATGGATGGGGAAAAAAAAGAAATCTGACAAGAGCTAGTGTCACACTGAATTAATCGCACCAGAGGGATATACACATATTTTGAGAGAAGAAGTGCTGCCATTTACACCAAATTATACAGAACCACCAAGGCCAAAATAACAAAGTTTTCGAGATAAGTGAGGCCCCTACATTAACAAGCGCCACTACTAAATCACCAGTTCAGTGGTTGCCACCTCATTAGAAATGCAGTGCAACTCACCTGCCGATTCGTCGATCGTGAAGCTACGCTCTGCGTATGGACTCTGCAGCGGCTGAGCCCGGATATAAATAGCATCGACACCCTAGTAAAGATGGTGTGAGTAATTGTAAAATCTCTGGTCAGGTTGCACACGTGAAAACACAGGATAGAGTTCCACATCACATGGCAAGAGAAAAACCACTAATACATGAACGCACTTGTTAGGGTTGATAAGCTGAACCCCTATACAGCATTTTTTCATGTATAACCCGCACCCTCGAGAACGACTCGAGGAAACCGTTTTGAACGTAAACCTTGTGTACTGCCACGAAGCTACGTTCCTGGCATAGCGGTAAAACATTACTGCGAAACCACCTTTGCAGGCCAAACTAGACATTTTTTGTTTAAAGGGACACTAAAGGCTACTATTATGTCTACGTTGATCGTTGCAATGGCAGTCCAAAAACCTCGTAGTGTTACTTTTGTGCCAAGGAAGAGCTTATTTTGAAATAAAATCTTGTTGAAGTGGTCCTGCATCGGGTTAGCGCACTTCAAGTTACCCGTCTCAAAAAGCGAACCGACCGGACCGACTCGCGTCACTATTGCCGTGCACAACGTTGCCCAACTTTGCTGCGCTAGTAGCAGCAAACCAAAAGCAGCGGGAGCCACAGCCACAACGGTCACCCAGCCACAACGGTCACTGATCAATATCCCACCATTGGCTGCAAGATTGCAGATGTTTTTTTTTTATTCAACCGTGCCCCGCTAGATGGCATCACCTGTCAAGTGTAACTAGGCGAAAATTGAATTTTCGAACAACTCGCGCCTTTTCACATAGCAACGTCCAATGATTCTTTTTTCCGTGATTCACACAGAAATGAAGAGGCAGCATTTTATTCCGTCTCTTGATGAATGACCATAAGGTTCTTCATTTAGTGCAGCTAGATCGATTACTAGTGAGTAGTTGTGGGCGGTCCGTCCAATGTCATAGGGATCATTTTGAGAATGTCTTACTGTGGCGCATGTGTTCTTAAGCATTTACCATATTTACTCGATTCTACCGCGGCCCTCGATTGTAATGCGCACCCGATTTCCACCGCGAAAAAAATAAAACATAAGACATCGATTGCAACGCGCACCCATTTTTCTCGCTGGCCCGCACGATCACACCACTCGAAAAAACGACTCCTTTCGGGAGAGTCTTCCATTTAAATATGAAGCTTGCGAAGCTTGTGCTCATCTGACGTGTAACAGCATTGTCGTCACTGCAGTTTTACCGTGGACCGATGTCGGCACGAGAACTTGCTTCGCCCCCTTCTCGACGGTTGTGGTGCCAGGCATGTTGAAGTAAAGAGGCGTCTGCTCGGCATTCCCGATTTGCCCAAGCAGGTAGCCGTTGTTGCGCCACAAGTTTAGGACGAACCTCTGAAAACTGAAGCTTTTCATCGTACTCCTCCGCAAAACTTTTCGCATATGCATGTTCCCCTTCGGAGGGAAAAGCCTTTCCTCTTCATAAAGTTAGTAAGCCAGCACCTGCTCGCTTTAAACTGGCTCCACATTAGACCTTTTTCTAAGACTAATTGCATAGCCCGCACTTGGAGCAGTTCTGTCGTCACGGGCCGCTGTGCCGCTCACTGCTCAATCACATACTCGCCGAGCAGCTCTTTAATTTGCTGAAACCGACCCCGCTGTGTTCCACTGAAGCCTTTGCGTGAAGCTTTGCTGTTGACAATCTTCTGCTTTTGTTTCCGCCGGTCCCGCACGCACGTTTCAGGAACTCCGAACGACCACGATGCGGCCCGATTTCCATCCGTTTCTGCACACGCGATGACTTTTCTTTTAAAAGCGGCATCGTGGTGCACTCGAGTTTTTGGAGTCGGCCATTCCACGCCGTCGATGCTAATGCACTACTAAATGACGAACTCCTCAGCACACGTACGAAGTGCCGCACATGAGAAACACATAGGCAGAAATGGCTGACGCGCCATGCCAACGCACGTAGGTGGTGGCCATTTTGGATTTGCCGATGGTGATAGATCGACCGTAATTTTTTTGTTCGTACTTGATTCTAACGTGCATGCGGTTTATGAACTCGCTTAACCGGAAAAAAGGTGCGCGTTAGATTCGAGTAATTACGGTACCACAATTTCTCAGTAAGTAGGGCCCTGTTGTTGATAATATTGTCATTTTAGATGTCATACATTAAGCTTTCACTGTGACGTAAATTGTTATTTGACTTGTGTCCCTTTAAACAATGAATCCTAAAAATTTTTTTAAAATTTCCTGTGTGGGTTTAATGCGGGTTATACGCTAGAAAATACAGCACACATGGCAGCAAGAGCAACGTCAGAGAAGAAATCAGAAACAGACATTCAAATAAAAAGAAAGCAATGTTTCAGAAACATCAACCAAAAACATGCACAGTAGCTCGCAAGCTGCCCAGCGTCCCACCAGGCAGAATCAGCAAAGACCATGAACATGTTTGAAATAGACTAATACCCCTGTCACACGGCCACCACCAAACTCCGTTGAACACCGTCAACGTAAATCTCCCCTAGGGGGTTCGACGTAGAAGGAGTTGTGGCAGTGTCACACCGCAATGACAAGGTTGTAACAGTTGCTGCGAGGGGGCTCAGCTGGCGCTGTTTGATTTTCGGAAAGGTATTCTAATTTGATCCCTATTGATTTTTTTGTGAATCCTCAGTTATGCGGTTTTTACAAAAAAGCACTATAAAGTAGGTACGCGACTAACAAATCATTAAAAATAATTTCAAATAAAAACGCATTTGCTAATTGTAGCAATGCTGCTAGTGACGCTGGCCACATTGTGCTTTTAGTTGTTTTGTTGCCTGTGTACATGCCCGGTACGAAAGTTCTTATGCTTCCTTGCCTCGTGAGCGCACATTTTGTGTTCTTCAGCCACGAGTGACACAGCGGACGACGTGAGGAAGTGGTGCGATATTGCGCTGGTAATGACGTTGATCGGCTGGCGCCGGCCGGCCCGACTCGCGAGGCACGGTGTAAATATTGTAAACAAACACGCCTTGTGAATGAGTACTACAACAAAAGAACGTTTAATATTGCTAAAATGTATTATTCTTTCACTGCGGCCACTTAGTGCTCGAAATTTTTCTCCGACCTCTAGACTGCTGAGGACGAGAGTACCTCGTTTCACTGACGTTGAACGTCCTTTGCGAAATGCTCAGTTCACCTTCGTTCGCGTAAGGGTGGCCGTGTGACACCAACCGCATCTTCGTTGTCGTAAAGACGAGGGAGTTAAACGGTCTTCACGGGTGCCCTTGTGACAAGGAGTATAACAACCTCCATTTTTTGTACATTTAAAGCGCACCCAAAGTCATTGCTACAAATGGGTGAAGAAGCTTTCAAACGCTATGGAAGCGTACAAGAATAGAGGGATCGTAAATCTTCGCCTTTAACGGTTAGTCGTATCTCCATGCTAGCGCAGGCTACACCAGGGTGAAGATCTAAGTGTGCGATAAACTAAGTGTACACATCCCCTGGCGCCTACCATTATACGCACCCACCATAAAATTTTCACGCACGGCTCACGCAATTTTTTCCATCGCAACCAAAGACCCCGCCACTGCAACCAACACTGAAACTTATTGTAACAAGTTTTTTCACACTATCGCATTAAAAGCATTAAAAGGTGGAACATACCAGCATTATAAACAACAAGTCTTCGAGCAGCTTGTACTCTTGTGTAGCCAAGGGGAGGACCCCAATGGGCTCGGCCTGGAAGACAGCAATGGCAATAAGTAATGCAATGATCAATGGCAATAAGTTTTTTTTTCATACCACATATTCTTATACTGGTGTCACACGGGCACTTTTAATCGCGAACAGCGTTGCTCCGGATTAACCACGATCCATATTAGGTGCTGCTATACTGTCATTTTTAATCATGATCAGGCATGACCGGGGTCACGACTATCGCGATCCAATCATCGCGATCTGCCTGAGAGATTGCGATTCTGCTGTGGTCTGCACCCTCTAGCCGAGCTTGTTGAAAGCACAATAAACAAGAAAATCGAGCATAGTTCTATAAAAACACTTGAAGTCAGCTAGATTATAGTTTATAAAGAAAGCAAATTCTAAGCTGTTTAAATTAGAAAAATATCTGAAGTATTCCATATTTTAGTATTCGCATGACCGCATGTATTTACAGGAGAAGCAGACAAGCAGATGACAAGCAGTCGATGGTTGCCTTCAGCCCATACCTTATTTACTCACGTAATGAACACACATTTTTCTTGAAAAATCGGAGCAAGGTTGGGGAGTGCGTTCATTACATGGGGTAAATTTTATGAAAACTTTTTCGGGAGGAGCGAAAAATGCACTAATGCAAAAAAAAGTTAGGTCAGTTGGCCTTTTGCAATTTACATACACAAACACTGTTTGGAGACTGCTTCTTTGTTGCACTTTAATTATCTTCGATGGTTGACCACACTATATTCTGCAAGCTGTCCCTGAGCCACCGGTGCACGCCATAAATATGTTTTGTAGCTATCTTTTCTCACAATGGTTTAAACACAACTATGGTATCTGCTGTGATCTTTAGGTGCGCCCAAAACGTGTGCTACATGCTAGGCTACCGATGACCCTACAACCACACTTTGCCAACTTGGCAGGAAGCGATGGGGCAGGTAGTTTGGTGACCTTCGCTCGCTGTGTGCTTATCAGCTGCAATGTCTCTACACTCGCACCCCTCGTGAACCTGTGGCCCACAGATAAGACAGGGGACTCTGTGGCCCACAGATAGAAAAGCAATAGGCACGCGGCAACAGGCGAGGGGGGGGAGGGAGCGAGCCGAGGTGGTTGAGGGGGGTCGGCAAAGTAATAAAAAACTGAAAAGATCCAACAGTTGAGGAGGCACCAGATGCGGTTAGCGGGAATGCCGCAGATGAATGTAGGGGGTGTATATTGCGCAAGGGGAAAAAAAATCAAAATTTTAATGACAAGTTGGGGGTGGGTTTATTATGAGAATGCATTCATTTCGCGAGTAAATACAGTAGTTCAACCCTTGCCCCGTCTGAGCTGTTGGAGCACCTCAAAGCAAACTGGTTAAGAGTGTCGCAAGCCTTTTGACTACGTCACAATGTACGCACTCTTAGTGGTTGAATAAAGAGACATTTACAGCAATTGACCGCTGGCAGGAGCGACTGGAACAGACTTGAGGCGCCAGAAGCTGAAACACTGGCACGTACAACGAGATTGACAGCTTCGCTGTGACTACACTGCTACGAGCGGGAGCCATCAGAAGTAAAAGCGAAGGTTAAGAATTTCACACAGCAATACAGGTAAGTGCTAGGAAAATTTTATCAAATGATGGATTAATGAAATTAGTATTGTAGTGACACTGCAAAGTTTTTGGCATTTGAGCAGCTCTTGCACGAATAAAATTGCTGATAAAGGGCTCTATAGATATACCATACGCAGAGTTTTGTCAGTGGCATGTTTCACGGCACGCTAATGCCACCTGGGGCATTTTATCTGACCCAAGCTTGAACCTGCATTAGCTTGGGCCATGTAGCAGCGGTCATAAAGTTGATCGCGATCAAAAAACTGATCTGGATCGCCCTGATCATGATTAAATGTACCCGTGTGACACCATTATTAGTCCATACAAAACAGGACAAAAGCAAAAGTGAGAGAGCAAAGACCACAGCAGTGTACGTTTGTAGTACTTTTTTAGCACGTTCTTTAGTTTCTTTAGTTAAACGAAATACATGCAGTGTCTGAACATGTTCACGGAAAAGCCAGAAAGAACAACAAACAATCTTACTATGCGAAAGCCAGCTGATAGAACTCTTTGGACGAGAGTCTTGTGATACAATCTTTCAAATAACAAAAGCTTGTTCTGCAACTAACCTTTGCGTCTCTCGATGACCGAGGACAAGGAGCGAAGTCCCAGGATACTTTAGAGTCATCCACGTATAGACCAAAAGTGACTGGTTCCACGACAACTGCGCATAAAAGGAACAGAAAGTGTGATTTGGCGTAACGATTGCATCAAAGAAACTGCACGTTGAAGAGGCTTTGAACGAACAATGCATTCACACACACTGTCCTCACAAAATGACATGCGCAGGCAATGAATCAAAGCAATTACTTTTCTATAACCCTTTAATTCCCGATTTTTGAAACTGCCAAGCACAACTACAAATTTTTTTATTTTGCAGCCTTAAATAGCACCCTTTAAATGATTCCACAGTTAAATTATCCAACGCGCAATTTTAATGCATACCTTTATGTATGTCACGAATTCTCCATGTGCCACAGAAGCGAGGACCTCGCAGCAAAAAACAAGCTTCAAAACATTGTATAATGACATGTGCCACCTCCTGTGTGCGTACACACTAAATAAACAAGCCAAGAAAAACATGATTGATTTGTGGGGTTTAACGTCTCAAAACCACTATTTGATAATGAGAGACGCCGTAGTGGAGGGCTTTAGAAATTTTGACCACCTGGGGTTCTTTAACGTGCACCCAAATCTGAGTACACGGGCCTACAACATTTCCGCCTCCATCGGAAATGCAGCCGCCACAGCCGGGATTTGAACCCGCGACCTGTGGGTCAGCAGCCGAGTACCTTAGCCACTAGACCACCGTGGCGGGGCAAGCCAAGAAAAACAATTTGATTTTGTGGGGTTTAACGTCCCAAAACCACTATTTGATTATGAGAGACGCCGTAGTGGAGGGCTCCAGAAATTTTGACCACCTGGGGTTCTTTAACGTGCACCCAAATCTGAGTACACGGGCCTACAACATTTCCGCCTCCATCGGAAATGCTGCCGCCACAGCCGGGATTCGATCCCGCGACCTGCGGGTCAGCAGCCGAGTACCTTAGCTACTAGACCACCATGGCGGGGCAAGCCAAGAAAAACAAGCGAGAGCTGTTGCATGCACTGTGCGCTCTCAGTCATCAACTACAAAACAATTGATTCTAGCATGAAATACCTCAGACGAGACGACGCTATATTTTTCATGCTGAAAGCTACATTCCCCGTGAGTACTCCCAAGCTGGCATTACTGCCTGCACACATTTCTAGACTTGCGGGCTAGAAGTCTCTCAGTGTGTCACGAATCCGCGACACTCGGGACTTAAATACAACATTAACACATCTTAAATACAACACAAAAGAAGAGAGGCAGGTAGGTTCTAGGACAAAACAGTGACGAATCGTGTTAAACAAAACCTGAAGACACCACGAATATGTTCGATTTAACTAGAGTTCCATTAAATGAGAAATGAGCATGGGTGCAGAAGTCGCCAATGAAACTAACCATGTAAGGGGCAGTTTTATTTGAGAAGCAATCCCGTTTAATAAATTTCTATTTACTGAGGGTCTACAGTTTGCCCACGTTTGTTCTTAACAGCTTGAAAAACCATTAAATTGGCTTCCAGCAGATTCAGGCCCTATCTGACGAAAAAATCCACCTGTTTGCAGTAGAAAGTTAAGAAAAGCTCTCGACATATCAATGAAGTGAATGATGATGAGTTGGCGACAGTGGGATTATTCGGTGTTACTGTTAATCGCCTGTGACATTGACCAATCACACATGTAAATGAGTCACAAGGTGGTAACAGTTCCGCTAATGTTTACTAGTCATAACTGGTATGTTGTGTTGAGTAGCGAATTTCGTTTTGGCTTCGTTATTACTGTTCTGTGTTGCTCTGTGTTATGGAATCTAGCCTGAAGTTGACGAATACAAGGTGTGCACACATTCTCCTGGAGGTTGTTGGTTGTTTCCAGTGATACGAAATGCATCGTAGAGCATATCGAGACGTCATATACTGAACAAGCCAGTCATCGTCCGTGATCATCATCATCATCATCAGCACCATAGTCATGACGTATAGTGGGTGCCTTGCATGTGCTTTGCCGTGGTGGCAGAAAGAGAATGTGAGGTCTGGAACACACCTGTTCATCGCCATCAGCATCATCACCATCATCACCATCATAATGAGCGGCGGCTACGGCGCACCATAAGGAGTTTTCAACCCTAAAAAATTTTTTACCTCAGTCTTCTCATAAGATAAGGCACTCAGTTCAGGAATTATTTGTCCTGGTTAAGAATTCGGATGCAAGAACAATGCCTTTCTGGGGTGGTCGCTCAACCATATCAGATATTCAAAAAGCTTGGAAACTGCTGCGCGAGGTCAAATCTACACCATTCTATACGGGATGAATCAATTGACAAGTCAAAGCACACAGACATGAAAATGGCTAGTAAAATACAGTGGAACTTCGATTATAATCCCCCAGTTTCACGACGACCCGCATTTTGCAACAACTCTGCTAGGTCCCGGCAAAATCCCCTTAGGAATAATGTATTAAAAACCTTGGTTATATGACGCAGCTTTACGCCGACCCCGCACCTTTCGACTACATTCAGGTTTCGTCTAAAAGAAAAAAGAACGCCTTCAGTCGAATCAAGCGTGGACCAAATATTCACGAGTTCAAAATATAAACTTTTGTTCCCCTAGGTTGCCAATTAGAAAAGTAGAGAGCAAGACATGTCTTCTTAGAATGGAAAATTTATTCTCCTGGAAGTTTATGCACTTCTACACATGCCGCAATCGCATGTGCACGTATCTGGGATCGTTACCTAGTCAAGCTCTATTTACAGAAAGCAGCTCCAGCCAGCCGAAAAGCTGATATTCTCACGTTTTCAGTCCATGGAAACATTTTCTGGTCGACATACAGTCGACGCACTCGCAGTCACAAGCGTGCGGGCTGTTATTGAGAAAGATTACTTTCACTTGATATCGGCCTTCATACTAATAGCAAGGCATCACTAGTTGCACTTCACAAGGCCACAAATTGCAATGCGCATAGCTCAGTCGCACACGAAGGCATTCTACGCACACTCGTGGTCGATCGTCATTATGTGAAAGCGATGAGACTGTATCTGACTTTTCTGACGGGAGACTATTGGCAACATCGTTTCGGTTTCGTTTTCACGCGCAGGCAATTTTCGGTCTCCGTTTATTGGTAAAAAGATGAGAGTTAGATTCAATTATTTTAAAACTAGAGAATTGTAGAGAAGCCACCGAACACTGAAATGGGTCGAACTCTGAAGTGCTTTCTAGTGGGTCCACCCAAAAAGAACGCCGCTCACGCGGAGAGTCCGTGCTTGGCCGCTACTGTCGCCATTGTGTATATTCGCTGTGTGCCGGCTAATAAACACCACAACAAATTGGTGGAGAGTGCTACGATCCCCTTCGATGCCCTTGGAACTACGCTCACGTACCCTGCAATCTACGATGTCCCACGACGCCTCTCAGCAAACGCCTCCTCCCATGCCACCCCCTTGTCCCGGTGTCCCCAGAATCCGCGATCAACCCATCTTCACGGGCGCCAATGGCACTGACGTGGAGGACTGGCTCGCCATTTACGAGCGCATGAGCGTCCCCAACAAATGGGACGAGGACGGCAAGTTGACAAACTTGGTGTTCTGCCTTGCGGGCGTTGCAAGTTAGTGGTACACCAACCACGCGTCCGAGTTCGCAACCTGGTCCAATTTCAAGATCGCTATTACCAACGTTTTTGGCCGCCCTGCCGTTCGTAAGCTGCAAGCCGAACAGCGCTTACGCGAACGCGCTCAGCAGGCCAATGAATCATTCACTAGTTACATTGAAGATGTCCTGGACCTGTGCAAGAAATCCAACGACAGCATGTTCGAATCGGACAAGATCCGGAACGTCATGAAGGGCATTGACGATGATGCCTTCACGATGCTGCTTGCCAAAAACCCAGGCACAGTAGCTGAGGTCATCACGCTGTGCCAGAGCTACAAGGAGCTCCGCCGGCAGCGTTCGATCACCCGTCGCTCCACACCACGAGATGCAGGGCTTGCTGGCTTGGAGGCGAGATGTGATCAGGTGGCGCTGCTGGCAGACCTCAAGTCCTTCATCCATGAGGAAATCGCATGCCAGTTCTCTCTCCTTCCCTTTGGCCACCTACCGGCTGTTCAACAATCGGCAACTACCATTCTTCCACCCATTCGCCGAGCAATTGAGCAGGAAATAGCGGAGGTCATGCCTGCGTACCACCCACAACTACTTCCGGCCCCTGCGCCCCCAAGTTACGCCCAAGTGGTCGCCAAGCCGCCTCCAGTCGTTCAAGCGCCTGCACCACTGACTTACGCCGAAGCTGCCGCACGACCTCCGTCCTTTGCAGCAGGTATGCAGCATGCGTATATTGGCGCAACCCCTCAGCCTCATTTTCAGCCCACCATGCAGCCTTTCCAGCCACCGTTCCGGGCGAGACCCACCCCGGCAAACCGATGATGCACACCCGACAACCGGCCCATCTGCTTTGCTTGCGGTTACGCCGGTCACGTAGCCCGTTATTGCTCTCGACTACAGCCGGCTCCCATTTCTTCTGTTGCTGGCCATCTTAGCCGTTCCTATAACGACGAACTGCCGTCTGTGCCACTGTCGTCTCGCCCAGGTCCATCTGCTCGAAGGTCGTCATCTTCACGACGTCGGTCTCTGTCCCCCATGCGGCCAAGTTCGGCTGCTCATGAGCGGGAAAACTAGTCGTCGCAGTCCCAGAGGCAAGGACTGCGACACTATCGCATTGTGAAAGCCCTCAGAGCCGCCCGTCTAATGTCATTGACGTGCTTGTGGATGGTGTTCATGCATCTGCTCTTATTGACACTGGAGCTGCGGTATCAGTTATGAGCTAAAACCTTTGCCGCTTGCTTCGAAAAGTGGCGACGCCGATTTCTGGGTTGTCCCTTCGTACCGCTAGCTCACATCGTATTCCCCCTACAAAGGCTTCACAGCTCGCGTTGTCGTTCAGGACGTTCTGTATGTCGCCCAATTTATCATCATTCCTGCATGCTCTCATGACGTCATCCTGATGATGTGTGGTACTTTGTGGCGCAAGGGCCAATTGATGGCCAAAGAGCGCCATTTCGATGAGTAGAGATGAGACAATGATATGTTGCGT